GGGGGGTGTTGGACTTTGGGGAGACTGGTTTATGTTGGGTATTATTTTGGTGTTGCAACCCTTTGATTGTGTTCCTGACGTATTAAAACGTGATTTACTGTTTCTTTTGTTAAATCAAATTTTTACAGGAGCAACAAACCACGCATTATTCTTTATAACAATTGTACCTGCGTTATGTTTTTTCCTTGCTTTTCATAACATATAGGATTTGAATTTCGACACAATAATACTTGAGCATATCAACTGATACCATGTACAGGTTAAAAGCCTGCAATAAGAATCTTATACATGATTTACGATGTATAACTAGGCTCCACTCATCCCTCTCATCCTTTCATATCACTCATGATTATAGTCCTACTTTCTCTTTTTGCTTGTTCTCTTGCTTGTCACTATCACTCTCTTAGTGGCTTGAAAACAAATTCATTTGTCTACGTCTTTTTTTTTTCAAGAATAACATGTGATTTACTTAGATTGGAATTGGTGGATTTTGAAATGAAGGCACTTTATATTAAATTGTCTTTGAAGTGTTTTTTTTTCAATAGTTGTAGCCTTTTATCCTTCTCCAAGGGCAACATGTCTTAATTATTTTTCTGCCCCTCAAGCAAGCAGCGGCTAAAGCTATCGTGCTCATTGCACAGTCTCACTTTCTAACAATATTCAGTCACAAATTTCTGACAAACACACATCTATGGTAAAGAACACAACAGAAACTAAGTCGTTGTACCACTAAGCATTTTCTTTTTTTATAGTCTCAAGACTGGCTTGGTTAACTGTTAAAAATGTGTTTTAAAAAGAGTATTCAAAATCTGGCCAGTGAGATGTTGAATACACCGCAGATAATTAAGATAAATACTTCACATTAAATAGCAAAGAGAGAGGCAAAACAAAAAGAGGCTAATCGTTTTTTTTCAGCTCTGTAAAGAGAAATTATTAACGTTTTACTGAGAAAATTTATAATAAATTGGTACCTTTTTATTATTTTAGATAATGATATTTTAGTAATAGGCCTTAACAACAATGACTTGGTTTTATTTCTTTGATGGACTATTTGTAGATAGTACCAAGTAATAATGGTGATAGGAGGACTGAATTTTCAGAACAGGCTGCCCAACCCTCTGAGGAAAAGCTGACATTGTCGGCCAGTTGTTCAGATGTACAAAGCCCTCAATTTTTTTTAAAACTTTCAATTTTGTTTTCATTGCACTTTCTTAAAACTGTTACATAATATGTTGCGTGTGCTCGAGAAATATTTTGTCGCAAACCAAAATCTTAATGTTGAAAAGCAAAAAACAAAACAAGATTAGGTATACAATTTAGGTACATTTTTAAAAAGTTGAATAGCTTGCCAACGTTGTAATTGATTTTTAACGAAAAATGGCAGGAAGGGTATAAGGGAGACAATAGTACTTTACCACGTACGAGCCAATATTTTCATAGTTATATCCCGTGTTTTTATATAAAATCAAACGGCAAGGCTATTTCTTCCTGCAAAGTTTGCGTGCAAATTCAGAAGTTTCTGTGTGTTTCACGACAGGCAATGTAAATCTGAGTAGGTGTGTGACGTGCAGCTTCAGCGAGTCAAAACGATTTTTTATTCTGTTCACCAAAGTTTACATAATCTGAGTGAATAAGTCCATGCGAGTACACAATTTGCCCAATACAAAAGAGAAACCTACGAATACGTAGGCCTTGTAAGGAGGTGTCCGCACTACTTCGGACGAATTTCCCTATTGGCGCGATTGCGACCAAATTCCTATTTGGTGCTGTAAACAAAACAAAACGTGCGGAAGCTCACACAGCCGCTAGATCTAGCAGTAGACTAGCAGTCGGCGCAATACGAACGAGATCGCTGGAGAGAGGTGTCTGTTACGGAAAATATGGATGGAATTCAGCCTTTATTGGAATCTTGTGTTCACTCATCTTCAATCAACAATTGGGTGGATGTAAAAGACTCGTTGCGAAATGTTTTAGCGAAAGAGAGCGACTTCAAGTAAGTAGAACTGCTTCTGACAATGACAAAGAAAATGAACTTGGAGGCCAATTTAAATTTAATGTCAGTAAAATTAGTCGGGCCACACTCGATGTATAATCTAATCTAAATAATATAGAGATTCTAGATCTAATCTAGATCTAGACTAGATCTAGATTTTTAGATAGATCTATCTAGATCTAGAATCTACATCTAGATCTAGATTCTAGATTAGATCTAGATCTAGAGTCTAGAGAAATATTATAGGCCTATGATGAGTGGTCTTTTAAAAGATTCTTGAATTTGAATCAAGTGAAATATTGATTCTGAAATCAATGGTTTACTCTGTCTAAACATTCATCATGTCATATAGAAATCTAGGCTAGGCCTAGATCTAGATTCATAATGTCATAGAAATCTAGGCTAGGCCTAGATCTATATCTAGATTCTAGATCTAGGCCAAGGAGGGTAGATTGTGCATCACACTTTTTTCACTCACCTTGATTTGATTTAGATTATTAGATCTAATTAGATCTAGAATCTAGATCTAGAATCTAGAGAATCTAGATCTAGATCTAAATCTAGATCTAGATCTATAGGCAGCCTATTTGGAAGGACTTCCGTAATGAGCGACCACCCCATCAAACACAATAAAGAAGAGGCCTAGTAGACCTACCCCTACCCCTACCCCTACCCCTACCCCTAC